CATGGTGTATTTATGTTCTCCATGGCTTCTTATTAATTTGTTGAACTACAAATTCTATGATTTGTGGTAATATATCCTTGAGTTAAGAGGTTTCGGTGGCATTATGATTTATGAGTCTTATTTGCTCTAATATCAATTGATGCAGGGAAGATGGATAGAAGAAATAATTAAAACAAAATAATAATAAATGGTGAGAGATTATACCTTTTCCCTCGGTCTGTAAAGGAGTTCAACCCAAAAGATTTTTTCACAAGATCAACTTTTTAAAATCACCAATTCTCTTCTATTTTTGATAAAAGGACATCTCCCCTTTAAATAACTTAGAAGAAAAAACAAAAAAACCACAAAAAATAAACTCTTTCTTTCTAAGACTCACGAACATCTCTACCTCCATATTTGCTTTCACCTGAAGCCTCCGTAGTTCTTTGTTATCTCCCTATCTTCTCTCAGATAAATCTCTTTCTCCTCCCAAATCCTTCCTAAAAGATTGATTCTTTATTTATTCTACAAAAGCATCCTAAAAAGAACAGCTCATACCAAATTTAATATTTTATCATTTTAAAACTAACCAACCCAATTGCTACTTTATCATTAAAACAACTCAGGCACTAAATTCCTCCCTCCTCCCATTTAACTTGTCTTAGCACACTTCTTATTCCCAAGAAAAATAAACAAAAAATAATAATACTAGGAATTTGAATTTTCTGAATATCTTTTTTCATCAATTTGTCTCTTTAAAACATAATTTTTGAGATAGTTTCTCTCTTTAAAAATTTTGAGACAGTGCCTATCTACAAATTTGATATAGTTTTTCTTTGTAAAGATTTTGAGATAGTTTCTCTCTCTAAAAAGTTTTTAGTACTTTATCTTTTAAAACTTTGATATAATTTTCCCTCTAAAATTTTAAGAAACTTTTTTTTAAAACTTAAAATTTGAGATACTTTCTCTATCTAAAAATTTTGAGATAGTTTCTGTATCTGAAAATTTTGAGATTGTGTCTTTAAAAATTTTAGATAGTTTCTCTATTTAAAATTAGATATAGTCTTTCTCTCTAAAATTTTAAAAAACTTTCTCTTTTTAAAACGTAAAATTTGAGATAGTTTCTCTTTCTTTAATTCGTGGGGTTGTTTTGACATAATTAATTGTATTTGATAAAGTGGGCAGCGTCGATATGTAAAAATAAACTTGCATAAATATTTCCCCACCTCAAGAGATGCAGTTTTATTTTCACATAAATTGGTCAATTTTTGGTATAATACTTTACCATCGGAAAAATTTTCACATGTATTTGCCGTGTACAAAATGTGCATAGCATAATTTTCACAATAAAAAATTGTACATAAAAATATTTTCACACCTACCAAACATGCCCTTAAAATGTGAAGATTTTCGCATTAAAAATTTTTACATAAAAATATTTTCTAATGTTAATTTGGATCTCTTCATCCCCTTAATAATTTTGTAAGGAGTTATGACCCTAGAAATGGCATTTTCCATACTATGATATCTTCTTTCTTCTATGCATAGACCCAAGCTTTTGTTGTCTCCCATGCATCTTCAGATGTCTTAAGTTTCATTGTTCCTCACTTCCATTCTTAGTTGGCAAACCCTAAACAAAACCTTGTCCCTAGGCACTTATAGGAACATCAAATAGATGAAAATGATCAAAATACCTTGGTGGACTTTATGGTTTCACATTATCATAACAGACCATACATGCAATTTCTTTAACCAATTGCTTCAGTCGATCCAGGCCAGCTCAACTAGTTCCCATGAAATTTCTTATTTTTTTTTATCTTTTAGATTTTCATATTCTCATTTACACCATTTTCAACGCGTCAACCCTTTTTAAAGGCCTTTGGCTCCCCTTTCCTTTCCACGATGTATGGGATTAAATGGTTTCATGCGAGACCTCATTTCTACAAATGCGGTTCAGAAAGTGTAAAGCAACCATATTAAAAATAGATGAAAGTAGGTGTTGCATCAAAAAGCAATAGAAACTAATAGTCCAAATATTTTTTTACTAAAATTAGAATTTTTAGTTTTTAAAATTTATTTATTTTTTCATATTCATGATCTCCATATTAGAGATTACATGTCCTTAAAAATTAAGTCTTAAAATCCATCTCAAAAATAGATTTATTAAGAGGCCTGCATTTCTACATATGCAGGTTTGGCCGTATAGGAACTCGGTCCATATATATTTAGGGCCGTTTGGGTGAAAATCTATTACGTGACAATAGATTATAAGGAAATATGATATTTCCACTACACCTAATCCTAAGAAAATGGAAAGAGATTGCTAGATTTCATCGTGAAATCTATTACGCACGGTGATCGAAAAGTCTATTACAAGATAAGGAAATCTATTACGCGCGGTGATTGAAAAATCTATTACGAGATGAGGAATCTATTAGGCGCGGTGATTGGTTTATTTTTGGGAAATCGTTCGCGTGAGTTTTTTTCTACCCTATCGCTGATTAAAAAAATCTTTTAACTTCTCTCTTCATAATAACTAGGTGATCTCTTCCTTTTTAAACTAGGTGGTCCATTCTTTTTAAGCTCGTCCCCTTATCTGAAGGCATCAGCTATCATATAAAAACAAAAACAATAAAGTCATATATATATATAAAAAAAAATCAGTAATTAATCATAAATTACACAACACAATCATAAAAAATTTCCCACAACATGATGTGATCCCTCCCTTTTTAAGCTCGTCCCCTCATCCAACATGATGTGATCCCTCCCTTGTTAAGCTCATCCCCGCATCAATGTCATATAAAAACAAAAATAATAAAAATAAAAATCAACAATCAATACTAAATTAAACAACATAATCATAATAAAAAATTTCACGCAAATAATCCTGATAAGATATTACTAAAATCTCAATAGAAATAACATACTCTTTAGTCTCCTCCAATACCTCAAAATTTTATACTGCAATTACCAAACCTTCTAATTTACTAATCAAACTTCTTCTCAGTTTTTAACTCGTACCCTACAGATTTTGAATTTAGTATCATAAATTTATTGTTTATTTGAACTTATATAGAGAGACATTTGAAAGACTTCTATAATAAATAAATAAAAATAAAGCTTATGATTATTAAATTATGTTATTCCAATCATATTATTCCAATGACTTATCATGTTGAAACCAATGTCATGTTAGAAAACATGTGATTGCATATAAGTGCCAAACGCATTTAAAATAAGTAGGAAATAATGTCATGGCTGTAAAATGGTAGAAATTATTATTAGAAAATCTTTTTGGAATGATGATAATGTTATTATTAGAAATCTTTTTGGAATGATGATTTTAATTCAGTATTTTAGTGAAATTTTGTGACAAAAAAGAAGGAACTAATAATTCTACATTTTAGTGAAATTTTGTAACAAAAAGGAAAGAAATGATAGTTTGTAGGCACGTGCTGGTAAATTATTGATAATGCATTTCTTATATTTCTTCCTGATATAACCAAACAATAACAATGTATTTCCGAGGTTGCATCTAAATACTACCCAAACAATAACAGTCAATTTACAGGTAATGTATTTTATAGACAATATATTTCAAAGTATCCAAACGGCCCCTTCGACAAGAAATGACATCTCAACATGCACGTATTTTTGTAAAATATTAAAACTTCATAATACACTACCCCCATTTTTTCGAAAACTCAAAAAAATAATATTTACAAAATTTTTTAATACTTTTTTGAAATTATTTTAAGGCCAGATCGGGCTGATCCACCAAACCATGCTGTCGATTTTCGAATGGGTGATCCGAATCAACAATCCATTTTCTTAAACATTACTTCAGAGTGAAGTCAAATGACCAAAATGTCAATACAATATTATGGTTCCTACACGATATATATTTAGAGCCCAATTCAACAGTCAAAAGTTAAGTTGTTTTAGCCACCCATACCTTTGTCTTAGTTGTGGATGACTTAACCAAGCACTTACAAGATGAAGTACCATGGTGTATGTTTCCCTCAGATAATATAGTTTTGATTGATAAGACCTGAAGTCACATTAACACTAAATTAGAACATTGGAGGGATGCTCTAGAATCTAAAGGTCATAAAATTAGCTAGACTAAGAGTATGTGGAATGCAAATTTAGTAAAAATGGAAGTAGAAACAATGGAGTAGTTAATATTAACTGATAAGAAATACCAAAAAGGGCGCACTTTCAATATCTTGGGTTAATCCAGGAAAATGAAGAAATTGAAGAAGATGTTGCACATAGAATTAGAGCTAGGTGGGAGAGGTAGAGATGTGCAACTGGAGTTTTATGTGATCGTTGCATACCAATGAAATTGAAGATGAAGTTCTATAAGACAATTATCACTAGTTTTGTTTTATGGGGCAAATGTTAGGCTGTCAGAAAACAATAGACCCACATGATAAGTGTAGTTGAGATGTAGAATTAGAAATGAATCATTCGGGTGAACTTAAATGTGGCTCTAATAGAAGATAAGATGAGATAAAATTAATATAGATGGACTGGCCATTTGCAGAGTAGACCAAGTACAACAACTATTAGGAGGTACCAGTTGGTTCAAGTGGATGGCTAAAAAATCATCAGGGTAAGCCTAAAAGGATATATTTGGAAGTAGTCAGAAAAGATATAGCCTCATTGAGAGTATGACCATTTATAGAGCAGAATGACGGATCATGATTCGTGTAGTTAACTCCAAATAGTTGTAGTTGAAAAAAGTTATGATGATGATGATAAGTTGTTTTAACCAATGCATAGCCATCATTCATGACCTTAAGCATACCTAAAAATGCCAAACACCTATGCTATAAGGTGAGATAAGGAAACCAGATCGCAAAGGTAGTAAGGACTACCAGGAACATAGTGGTACTATCAAAGCAAAATGAACAACTTTTTTGAAATCAAATAATTTGTGAACAAGGAAAAATAGTTCCTGTGACTATGTTTCTCCTATATTGCTCACATCTACATCTTTCCACAAAATGATATTGCTGACATCTACATCTTTCCACAAAATGATGTGCTATACAAACACATCCATACCTACAATGCCACTTACAATAAACCTGCATCCAAAAGGGAGAAAGTTCAAAGGAAAAAGGAAGAAGAAAAAGGGAGACATCTACATCTTTCCACAAACACATCCATACCTACAATGCCACTTACAATAAACCTGCATCCAAAAGGGAGAAAGAAAAAGGAAGAAGAAAAAGGGAAACAACGAGGAGGTCAGAAGTCTATCCACAACAGAGAAAGTGCAGATGAGGTTGGCTCGAAACCTGCATCCAAAAGGGAGAAAAATCAAAAGAAAAAGGAAGAAGAAAAAGGGAAACAAATAGAAGGTCAGGAATCCATCCACAAGAGAGAATGTGCAGATGAGGTTGGTTCAGTAGAGCCACCCACTACACATTGAAGAACCACAATGGCACGCCTTCTTCTTTATGTTACCATTGGAATCATAAACCTGGTCATGCGCCATTTGATAGTGGTAGGTGAGCTCTTGGAGAGGAGGGATATTCTCACGAGCAAAGAACATTATATGGGGCATTGCCTTGTCATCGTGATCAATGAGAACGTTTTGTGCATAAAGGTTCGGATAGCAACTGTGATTGATGAACCTAGCCACACTCCCATAAACTCTTGCATCGATGGTGAAACCTTCCTCCACTTCCTCACAAGCTTCAGTTGGTAACTCATTAGGAATGAGAGACGAGACGATGTCTTTCACCGACTCATCAATGTATTTGCACCCGATATCAAACAAATATTCGTCACGCCCAATTAGCTTTTCCGCCATTTCATTAGTGAGAATCTTGCCTAAATACTCACAAACGAAGCTTCCTGAAGGGATAGAGGTCAAGGTCCTCACACCCCAACCTCTTTTTTCCGTCTTGAATACCTCCAATTCGAATTTCAGGCCATGCTGGCTTACTCTGTTCTTACAAGATTGAGGGCACTTGCAATTAGGACCACACTCGTATATCAACGGCTTTGATTCCACAACACAACCATCAAAGTAAGGAAATTGGCCTTTGTTCTTTTGGGTGCATTCACATTTTATAGGGTCATTGCATCCACCAATGCACTTGCATCCCTTTTGAAGAGTACGAGAGTGAAATTCAGGATACCTCATCTGTGTTATGTACTTGAATGGACCAGGGCGATCCCCATCGATACCATTCAATGCACGGATAGGGCTTCTCTCTCTTCGACAAGAAATGTCCAAGCAAACAAGACTCTCAGGGGCAATCCACCTTTGTAACTTCCCTGGTTCTTTAGAATTCTTGCTTCCAAGCTTTGTTTGCCCACGCTCTCTCCTTAACTGAAACTTGTAAACATAGAACCCATCGGATCCTTTCTCTTTACAGTGCTTCTCGACATAATAAAGACCATCGTAGGTGTAAATTATGGGTTTTAGCCTACTAGATTCATGGCTGCTTGTAGAGGACTGGCAGACAGACACAGGAAACTTCATTCCTCGAATGACTCGAACAGGGGTCTTGCACTCTATGCTGTTATAGAGAGCAAGGTTTCCTCTCTCTAACTTTTGATTTTCAGGTCGCTTCCTAGCACCATAAAAACAAGCATTGCCTCCTTGACCTGAATATATCAACACCTCTCCGTAGTCACTATCTTTATACCCACCTGAGACGACAATACTTGTCGCAACAATTTTGCTAGCTCTGTGCATGTAGGCTATGCCACCTTGAGTTGGTCTATGAAGCCCTATAATACAGAGCTCTGCCCTATACTGAAACTCATCTCCAACCTCTACACCAGGCACATTGCCAAGAATATGGTCATCACAGTTAATGACCAAGTTGCTCTCTCTAAGAAGATTAAAAGCCGCTAAGTCTGGCCTTTTGTGGGGTCGTTTCCCTGATTTATTGACCGCTTTTCCTTGATCTTGCAAGAGCTTCCTGTATACGCACTGATAAAGTTGCAGGGTTCTCCGAACAGTCTCTCGAGTGGATTTCCCCTTTCTGATTTTACCAGCAAGAAGTAAGCTCCTCAAATCCTTCTTAATGGGGTTTTGAGCTGAACTCATATTGTCATTGACCTCTCTGAGTTTAATGCCCTTTTGAGCAGAAACCAATTTGTTATCAGCCACTCTGTTTTTCATGGGCTTTCGAGATAAACCTATGTTGTCTTCAACCTCTTCGGTATCCTCTGAAATCGGCACACGCCTTGAATATATGTCATAGCTATCGTGACAATGTTTGGTTTTGGCTTTGCCATGAAGAATAAACTTTGAAGCTTCAATGGGTTCAGGTTTATCAGAAAGAAACCTACTTCTTTTCAGAGGAGAGTTCTCAATTAGAGGCATTGATCTCTTATTGGGGGCTTCTGCATTTTTCTTGGAGCTAGATTGGAAATCCAAATTGATATTTCGAAACTTGGGTACTTTTCCATTGCCCAAAACTGTTCTCTTCAACTTCAATGGCTGAAACCCCTTTCCATCTCCATGGCCAATGTTCTTGTTCACAGAGCACTCATCCCTAAGCTTCACCCTCTCAGTGCACACCGATTTCTTGGCCACCTTGAATTCTCTGCGAGAAATTGGGTGACACATCCGGGGGTTCTTCTCTTGAACAAGACTACTATTCACTTCTTGGGTTTCTCTCCAACATGGTTTGCGATCAAAATCCCCATACTTCACCACCATTTTGGAGAAGAAATAATTTCCTCTTTGATTTCTTGGTTTTTTTGCCTGAGTTTCTCGTTATCAGAAGCAGAAATAGGCCTTCGAGGTGAAGAACACACAGAACAATACATACCTCAAAGAAGAAGCAAGAAGCACTTGAGTCCTCTGTAGTGAAGGATCTCTAAATCTTTCTCTTTCTTTCTCTTAAACTCTCACAAAGACTCGCAAGAGAGGTCAGGAAATCCAGTACAAGGGTCAAGAGAAGGGAAATGAAAGCTCAAGGGTCTCTGATGCACGCTTTCTCTCTCTAAAACTTTGAAAGAATGGCGATCATCGTCGTTTCCATTTACATGAGAGAGAAAACAAAACCCACAAGAAATTCCATAAAGGAAAAGGGCCACAGAGAGAGAAAAGGAACTTCACAGGAAGTTAAGGGAGGAGGCCATTTATAGATTATAGAAAGCACAGAAGAAGCAACGGCTAAATTTCAACAAACAAAAAATACCACATTACTTGACTTTGAATGTGTTTCCATAGATAAAACCGCTTTCTTCATCATCACCGTGGGTTGCCCAATTTACTATATTTAGAGAGAGAAAACCGCCATTTCTGAGAAATCCCTGTTTCCCAAAAAAAGTAATGGCTGCTCTACAAGAAGCGATAGCAGACTCGGAAGATAAGAGGGATAGCAGACTTGGAAGATAAGAGGGAACTTGTATATTGAAAAGATAGCGGACTCGGAAGATAAGAGGGAACTTGTATACTGAAAAGAGAACTAGTGAGAGAAATATGCAGAGGAAGGAAGATGGTAACAGGTATATGTAGAGAGAGAAAAAGCTATAGAGAGAGAGAGGTGCCCAAAATAATCCAAATAACAGAACAGTAAAAATAATTATTGAAAGAGAGAATGACAGATTTCCCTGTGGAGGAACAAAAACAGAAAGCCAATGGCACAAAAACAGAGAGGACCCAAAAGCTAAAACAGGCCTGGAAGAGGAGAGAGAAAAAATACAGGAAGAGGAAGACGAAGAGAGAGAAAGAGGAGGTACAAGTTACAGAGAAGGGAAAAAAGAGCGGGAGAGAAAAAACTTTAGAGAGAGAACAGAAGCAGGAGAGAGAAAAAAACTGTACAGAGAGAAACAGAAGCAGGAGAGAAAAAAAAGAGAGAGGGAGGGTAGAGAGAGAAAGGGAGAATAAAGAGCAGGAGAAACGGAGAAAAACTTTAGAGAGAGCAACTGAAGCAGGAGAGAAAAAAAAAGAGGGAGAAGGCAGAGGAGTTCTGTGAGAGAGGAGAGAGATTGTTTTGGTTAGCAGCCAATCACATTTTTTATCTAAATATTCCGAAAATGCCCCTGTCACGACAAGCACTCTCCAATTCTTTCTGCGACATTTGTCAGAGACTAATTGGACCACGTTATATTATTAGTCATCCACCCAAAACGGCGTAAAAGACAGGTGGCACGAAGAATAAATAACAAATATGTTTGGCGTATTTGTAATTAATATGGTTTAAAAAATGGGTGAGCTTCGAAGACGCAGTTGTTATTGCCTGAAAGTGGGAGTGGAGGAGGGAGGGAATGATCTACGGATCCCGGTTATAGATGGCGGGACCCAGATATTATATGTAGGACACCGTTTCGTTTGTGTCCAATGACTGACCTCTTAAAAATCTATTTTCGAGATGGATTTTTTTATTAATTTTTAAAAAAATATGAAAAATTAATTAAATTTTTAAAATTAAAATTAATAATTCTTTTAAAAAAATATTTGGACCTACCAAATATAAAAATGTGGTCTCAACCATATGAAACAATTTTCCTTATGCCTATGTATTATAAAAAGAAAATTGTTTCATACCTACTGGACCACATGATTACATATGGGGTTTAAAAAGTAGCCAGTAGGTGTTTCATTTAAAAATAATAGAAACTAATGATCCAAATAATTTCTTATTAGAATTATTATTTCCAGCTTCTAAAATTTATTTATTTTTTCATATTCATCATATCTATGTTAGAGATTACATATCCTTAAAAATTAAGTCCAAAAATCCATCTCAAAAATAGATATATTAATAGGCCCGGGCCGAGCCTAGGCCATGGCCATGACAGGACTACCTAGACCTTTGTTTCTTTGTTTTTTTGTTTACCCATGAAGTTTATCAAGGCCAGCCTGACCCTACCCAAGCTACTTCGGCCCCATCAAGGTTGTGCCTAGCACGGCCCAGGCCTTTAGAGATGAGGGATGGGCTAGGGCCAAGCCTCTGGACTCGGTACTTACTGTACTCATGGTCAATTTTGAAATTGGCACATTTGAAACTTGCATCAATGTTAAACATTGTCACACAATATCTGCATCTATGTAAAATAAATCATCATCAGTTGGAAGAAAAGGAAAAAAGCAATTAAATAAGAGACAAATATACAAAATAACTAGTCATATTGCACTTCCCTAACCCTAACATTAGTAAACCAACACAAAATCAAAATATACTTTATACTAACAATATCTCCATGAAAACAATAATATTAACAACATTAATAATAACAATAAAATCAACACTAGTAGATCTAAACCCTAGAATCCCCCTTCTCCTCCTCCTCACCCAGTTGTGGAACTCCCTCTATCTCCCTCAACAAAGACACCACCTCCAACATATTAGGCCTCCTTGATGGCAAATCCTCTACGCACCTCATAGAAATATCCAGATACCTGCGCATCTTTTCGACCTCATTTTCCCCATAATTGCCTTTCAAATTCACATCAATTACCTCCATTCCCCTGCCTTGTCGTACGTGTGCCTTGACCCAACCCACCAAGTTGGTCTCACCAAACTCCTCTTTATCAGTGGGCCTCTTACCTGTCAAAATTTCAAGCATGACCACTCCAAAGGAGTACACATCTCCTTTGGCTGTGCACCTGAAACTTTGGTAGTACTCAGGGGGAACATAACCTGGAGTTCCAGCTAGAGTGCTCACACTTAAATGTGTATCAAGGCAACTTATCATACGAGCCATGCCAAAATCGGAAACCCTAGCTTCCATGAATGAATCTAAGAGAACATTGCTTGATTTCATGTCCCTGTGTATTATATGGGGAATGCAGTTATGGTGTAGGAAAGCCAGTCCCTTTGCTGCTCCTTTTGCTATCTTCTTTCTCAGCTCCCACCTCAAAAACCCACCTGTAACAGTTGGCTTTTCGATGGAAAAACCGTTTCCTGCATTCTCCTTGTTTTCTCCATGAAAGCCCATCTTTTCATTTCCTGAATTCTCCTTCTTATCCCCATGAAAACCCATCTTTTCATTTCCTGGAATCTCCTTCTTTTCTCCAGAAGTACTGGCTTTATCTCCGAAAAGCTTGTTCCTATCGCTATGGAGCATTTCCTCAAGGCTGCCAAATTCCATGTATTCATAAACCAGAAGCCTTTCTTCTCCAATTTTGCAGTAACCCAAGAGTGGAACCAAGTTCCTGTGCTTGATTTTGCCCAAGGTTTCCATCTCCGCCATGAATTCTCGATCGCCTTGACAACTCAAACGAATGAGCTTCTTAATGGCAACGCTCGATCCATCCTTTAATGTGGCCTTGAACACTTCACCAAAACCACCAGACCCTATCAAACTCCCTGCACAGAACCCATTAGTGGCCTCGATAAGCTGAGAAAATGTGAGCTTTCTCAGTGGCCTTTGAAAAGTGGCCACATTTATACTGAGAGGCTCCTTCTCTTTTCCAATCTTCCATGTCGTTGCATAAGACGCTTGCAAGCTATTGATCATGGCTGCCTTTGCAGCAGCTGCAGCTCTCCTCCTTCCCCTTACAGTAACAGCCCAAACAATCAAAACACAGGTCGTAGCCATTGAAACAAGTATCCCCAAAACCATAGTATTAGCCCAAGTAGCTGGCCTGGGCTTGACAGGAACTTCTGCTGAGTAATTACCAGAGCCATTTAAACTAGGGTTATCACTTTGACAAGGAGCCAATGGCACCCCACAAAGGCCTGGATTGTCTCTGTATTGCGAGGCAGGCAGAGTGCTCAATTGACCCCTTGATGGTATCGGCCCTGTTAGTGCATTATCAGAGAGATCAATTTGAACCAAGAATGTGAGATTAGAGAAACTCTCTGGTATACTCCCCTGTAAATGGTTATGAGATGCATCAAAAATCCCAAGATACCTCAATTTTCCAAGACTTGAAGGAATTTCACCTGTGATTTTGTTGTGTGAGAGCCCAAGAACTTGTAGAACAATCATGGAGCCGAATTCCTCAGGTATACTTCCATTGAGATTGTTATAAGAGAGATCAAGGTACTCCAGGCTTTGGTAATGGGTCCAATCATTTAAAGCAGCTCCAGAATAAAGCCTTGTAAAATCACAGGTTTTCAAAGTCGGCACCTGCAAAAGCCTCTCAGGCCTAATTCCTGCAAACTCAAGCAAACCACCAACTCCTTTGCATGAATTCCCAACATTTCTAACAAAGGCCAATGTATTACCAGAAAGAATACCACTTAATGGCTTTTCATTTGGTTTCCGGCCAAGATAGGCCGGAATCTCGCCTGAGAGCTGGTTGCTATTAAGATCAAGCCAAACCAAGCTACTGCAATTTCCAAGCTCTTTAGGAATAACCCCACTAAAGCTATTGTTAGCGAGTTGGAGAATTGCAAGCCTTTTTAGTTGCCCAAATTCCCGAGATATTTGGCCTGAAATTCCATTACTAGTGAGCGAAATCCACTCCAAATCGCTAGAATTGAAAATTTCAGGCGGCATTTGGCCAGAGAGGAGATTGTTGTTCAAAATCAAGGTCTTTAGATTGCTGCAATGGCCTAGCTCTTTTGGGAGTGGACCAGAGAGGCCATTAAACCAAGCCATAAAGTGCTCCAAATTTTTGAGGCCACCAAATTCAGGAGGTATGGTCCCATTAAGATAGTTGATACTGAGATCAATGGTTTTAAGATTAGGACATTGAGCAAGACTCGGTGGAATTTCACCAGAAAGTAAATTATCCGGCAACCCGAGCTCCTCTAACAAAGCAAGACCAGGGCAAAGGTTTTCAGGGATATGGCCAGAAAGCTTATTGGAGCTGAAGTCCATAACTTTGAGGTTATTGCAGTTGGAAATGGAGGCTGGAATTTCACCTGAAACGAAGTTATTGCTCATGAGAAGGGTCTCTAAGGCTTGCAAGTTTCCAGCAATGGAGTCATCAAAAGGTCCGGATATGTTATTGTTGGAGAGATCAAGGAGTTTCAGAGAAGAGCACGGAGAAAATGAAAGAGGAAACGAGCCAGAGATATTGTTAGAAGAGAGCCTCAATTGCTGTAGAGTTTCACAGCTATTGGCGAGCTGTTGGGGTATGATCCCATTCAAATGGTTTTGAGAGAGATCAAGACTCTGCAGTTTCGTGAACCCCTTGAAGGAGACAGGGATTCCCCCGGATAATCCATTAAAGGAGAGATTCAAGGTGTTGAGGTTATAACAATCTGATAAACTCGATGGAATCTCACCTGAAAGGTTGTTTTTCGACAAGTCAAGATACAAAAGGGCATTACAAGAGTTCTCTGACCAAATGGGCCCTGAGATATTGTTGTAAGAGAGGTCGAGAAACTGAAGATTGTCGGAAATTCCCTTAGCCAAGAGATTCTCAGGCAAGAATCCAGTGAGGTTGTTATGAGGGAGTTGCAGGGAGATGAGGTTCGGGTTATTAAAGAACAGGCCCTCAGGAACAGAGCCAAAGATTCCATTGAAAGAAAAATCAAGGTACTGCAAACTTGGTGGCAATTGAACGAGAGAAGAGGCATTAAGAAAGAAGGAATTGAAAGAGAGATTAAGGACAATTAGGGAGTCCATTGAAGCTAAGGTGGTTAAAGGAAGAGAACCAGAAAGTTCAGCTTGGCTCAGGTCAAGTTTTGTTACTCTCTGTGAAGTGCAAGAAACTCCATACCAGTTGCATTGGCCTTTGTTGGGTACCCACCCGTGCAAAATTCCCTTTTTGTCGCTCTCGACAGCCTTCTTGAACACCAGGAGGGCCTCGAAATCGGTCTTTTCGCCATCTGAGCTTTCGACATGTCGAGCAGAAGGCATTGAAACGAGGAAGAAAATAAGGACAACAAGAGGTCTAAGTTTTCCGTCCAAGTCCATTGAAGACGAGAGTGTAGAGATCATGGCTCGTTTTTTTGGCATCGGTGTTTTAGAGAGAGAAAAACTTGAGGATTTTTAGAGAGAGAAGAATGGATTGAGAGCCTAGACAACTCTACTCTGCCAAAGGGAGGCTACCAGGTGAATGAAGTGAGAGAAATCTCGTACAGGGAGATGAGGTCCGACTTAAGGGAGAAAAAGTGAGTGAAGGAGAAAGGGAGGGGAGAGAAAGTTTTTAAATAAGTAGAGAGAGAGAGAAAGAGGGAGGAGATGAGAATAAAGAGGTGGGGCTCGAGGGGGGAGAAAAACAGATATGTATGTAGAGAGAGAGAGGTGGGTTGGTCAAAAAGAGCGAATCCGATAAGAGTGGAGTGAGGAGTAATGATGAGGCGTTTTGGATATGAGAGAGGAAAAGGGGAGTAAGTCTTTAAATCGAAAGCTTGGCCTCCCTCCGTCGCTAAAGTCAAGTTGCGCCAGGAATGGGCCCGCGCGGGCTTTGACTGCATAGAAACAACGTTCATTATAAAAAAAGTGTGGTTTGTACAAGGCTGAGGCCCTAACCAATCAAACAAGGCGCACTTTTAAATGGTGCCGTAACATATTGTTTTAATATAAAAAATCTTTATGATGGTTTAAAAATATATTTGATCTTTAATTATAAAATTTAAATATTAAAAAATAATGTAGATTGAATACATATATGGATATTTAAAAATCTTGAAAATTGATGGTCTAGATAATACATTACATCTGATGGTGAGTTCCAGGCGGTTTTGCAGGGGTTGAAAATATAAAGTTGGATGACCTAATGGGCCTTGTATTGTGGAAGAGAATTATTTGAATGTGGTGAATTGGTGTAAAAAGGGAAGTATGCCTCTATGGGGATTATTGTCAATTTGGGCTTAAAGCACATGATTTATGTGAGAATCTGATGATGCCATTACAACATGCTTATTGTGATGCAAATTCAATTGCAGATGGTCCTGCAAAGTATGGAAGGGGATTATTTGAATGGGGTGGAAAAGGGGGAGTAAGCCTCCGTGGGTATTATTGTCAATTTGGGCTAAAGCATAGGATTTATGTGAGAATTTGATGATGTCATTCCAGCATGCTTATTGTGGTGCAAATTCAATTGGAGACCGTTGCAACATCGAACCAACATGTCTAGTAAATTTTTGAGGTGCGTTTGATTTAATTGTTTAGGGCCTTTTTTTTATATCAATTTTTTTTTTTATTTCTATTACATTCATTTGATGTCAAATTGGATTGTTTGCGGCCAATCATAAAATCCGATAATTTTTTTTGGAACTGTGTCTATTCAATGACATTTTTATAACTACCTATTTTAAAATTTAAGGGATAATAATGATTGTGACCTATTTGTACAAAAGATAAATGGCCTTTTTGTATACTTTTTTTTTATAAACATAGAGAAATATCGCTTGAAATTAAAAAAAAGTTATATTAAGTTACTAATACATATGAGTATTGTTTTAATGTACTTAATATTTTTGGATACTCATTGGCCATTGTTTTGTAATATACAATTT